AATTTTGAATAATGCTGCAATCAACATGGATGTACCAGTGTCTCTCCAGTTGAGGGTTTTCCCACCATTTGGGTGAATACCAAGGATTGGGCTTACTGTGTCATATGCAAGTTCTATTTGTAGATTTGAGAAGACCTTCCATATTGTTTTCCACAGAGATTATACTAATTTACCTTCCCACCAACAATGTAAGAGGGCTCCATTTTCACTAGTCTCACCAGCACTTATTATTTTTTGAAGTCAAAACCTTTTATGTGTATATTTGAATGTGGATGGAAAATATGTTGATTTTTTTTCCTAAAGTACTTTTGCTTCCATTCTATAGTGTGTAATGATTTTAGAAGCTGTCCTGAAAATAAATAAAAAGACCTGTTTAAACTACATGTTAATTTAAAAAAATATTTGAAAAGATGTTTCAACATAGCAATGACTATTCACTGATAGTCATTTGAAATAAGGATTTTTATAAGTTTTGGAAAAAGTTAATGAAATTAAATTTGTTTTATTAATAAGTGTTTTTCTAGAAGCAGATATTTAATAAAAAAACAAGCTTGTTTGCTAGTAGAAAAGTGTATAGTATATCTAATTTAAGTACAGAAATAAAAGCAAGACAAAAACAGAATATATTTTAAATATATTTGGAACTTCAGTAAACATCATTTTCATTTTTCAAGTTATAGCTATAATTATTATCATTTGAATCTATGATTGTTTTATAAGGATCTGGGTAATGCTTTGTATTCTAATATTTTAATAAAGCAACTAATATGATGTCCATTTCACTTCTCTATTTGACCTATTGTAAAATCAAATTATTATTACCATATCAATTCTTGTCTTTAAAGTACTCAAACCAACTTACATCATACTTGGAGCCCAGGAGATGTTTGTTGATGCTCATTTAATGTGAAATAATTTGGTTTTGATGACAGCATAGTTGATTTCTTTCTCCTTTTCCATTTTGTTCTACCCTTACATACACAGGCTAAATAACTTCACTTTAATGTGCACCATTTTCTCAAAATGTTAGCGTCCATGGGAACCAGCAGTTAGCGTAATGGCTATGTTGCTGGACTCCCACGTAGTCAACCGCGGTTCGCGTTCTGGACCCGGTGGCTTAAAACTCACGCCGGGCGTGTGTGAGTGTGTGCCCAAGATCCCGAGAGGAGAATGGAGGAGAAGGGATTGCAGCGTGACCATCCCCTCTGGGGGGTGATTTCTCGCTTTCTGTCTCTCTGTCTCTCTCTGTCTGTCTGGCGAGCGCACACGCCCTATAGCGAAAAACCTCTCCAAAAAAAAAAAAACAAAAGTTAGCATCTGTCTTGTTGAATTTTTACTTTAAAATTTATGCCTTTTAGTGCACTGAAAATTTCATGGTATTTATGCTTCTCTCGATAAGTTTTCTAGGAATGCTTTTTCTCAGTAAAGTGAACCTTCTTGGTCAATCTTTGACTAAATATAGACCTTTGCAATTTTAACTAGAGGGGCCAACAGGTGGCATGGTGGTTAAGGCACTGGATCCTACATGGCAGGCTGCATAGTTCAAATCCCTGATCCAGTCACTTGAAAATCATGCCAGGCACATGTGCATATATGTCCAAAATCCCAAGAGGAGAATGGAGAAGGGATTGTGGCATATCCATCCTCCCTTGGTGGTGATTTCTTACTTTCCCTCTCTTCCTGTCTCTCTGTTTGTCTATCTCCAGTAGGTGCATATGCCCTATAGCAAAAACTAAAAATATTTTTAAAAAATAATAAAAATATTTTAACTAGAGGTGTTTCCAATATAATGGATGGGACCAAAAACTTGCTTCTCAACTTTCTCCCTTTGCCACATAAAACTTTCAGACTGTGGAGGTTATAATCGAAACCAGTACTAAGTTTTTAAAATACAATCTCAAAGTTAGAATGCAAAATAATAAAACTAATCTTCATGATGACTTCTAGGCCAGTTTTGTTGGACACAGCTCACATTCTCTTCCTCATTCACAAGTGGAATGTGTAGTATAGTAGTATTAGTATAGTAAATCTGTTTTGCAAGTATTGTTTATAGACATAGACATGTTTTAATAGGAATTAGCTACAATAAATTATCTCTTGTCATAATTTTCCTGAAGGCTTTGGACTATGCCTTTTTGTCATGAATGCCAGAAGTCATGGGTGGACTTTGCATCATATACAGTAGCTTTTACACCCATCTAGCTCTTACACTGGATTATTGTTACACAGTTGAAAGGAATTCTTGATTCATCAGTGCTGATTGTGAGGCAGTATTTTTTGGAGTTTGAATTCTGAAACCTATCACCTGGTCTTAAAATCTGGCTCTCACTAGCTCAGTGACTATGGGCAATTATAAGAAATTGCCCCCCACACTCCCAGTCTGCAACCTCTTCTCCTTCATCCTCCTCTTGGGATTTTGGGCATGCATACACATGCACTGGGTGTGTTTTTCAAGCCTCCAGGTTCAGGACTTGAACTATGGACTCAGCCATGTGGTATCCAGGACCTTAACTACCATGCAATCTGCTGGCCCTGATAGCCACATTCTTACCATGCTCTCAGTCTCTATGAAGACTTCCTGGTATGAACATAAGCCATTTTCATACCTGAAGGCAGCCTATTATGGTGTTAAGATCATGAATATTAGACCTAAAGACCTGAGCTCAGCTCTTAGTTCTACCATCTCCTTCACTGGAACATAAATGTCTCAGACCTTTGAAACTTCAGTGTCCTGGTGTGTAAAATGAATAGTGTATAATGGTTCAGGTCCATCAGGGTTGTTTTAAGGAGTAGCTAAATGTACATGATCTAGCACATTGTAAGTTCTTAATAAATAATAAATCATTTTAAAGAGTAAATAATTTTATAGTGCTAAGTAAAACTGATTATCTGGTATATTCAAAATATGGACTACTGTGCAAATTACTACTAAAAATAATAACCACCAATTTATTATTGTTACACAAATAATTAAGCACTACTCCTCAGATTATTATTGCTATTTAAAAAAGACAACTTGGAGACCAGCAGATGGCATAGCAGTTACATCACTGGGCTCCTACATAGTTGACTATGGCTCATGTCCTGAACCCAGCAGCTTAAAACTCATGCCAGGTCATGTGCATGTGTGCCCAAAATTCTGAGAGGAGAATGGAGGTAAAAAGATTGCTGCGTGGTCAATCCCCCTGTCAGGTGATTTCTTTCTTACTTTCTGTCTCTCTATCTCTCTTTGGTGAGTGCACCCTATAGCAAAAATATCTTAAAAAAAAAAGATAGACCAACCTAAAATTTCCCCTTTTCTAGGATAAATAATCCAAGTTTTTAACTTCCTCTTTCCAACCTTTATAGTACTCTTAATTGTGTAGCAAATCATTATGTCCTTATTAAATTACGGGCTCTAAATTAACCCAAAGTTCCTTGACCGTCTAGTTAATTCTGCTCATGTGGAAGAAGCGTAATCATTACTACATGTTTCCCATCAATTAATTTACTTTTTTTAATAGAGTAACATTACTGACTTGCTTGGTTGGTGGGTATTCCATGACCCTGATATAATTTTTTCCCCTTATTTGTTCATAGCTGACTGCTCTTCAGCTTTCTTCTTCATAATTTTCTGATTTTTTTTCTGAGTCATTTACGACTAGGAAACACAAAAGGTGTAAAATGGAAAATAATTTAGTGCATTTCCTTGTTGCTGTGATTTATGTAGCAGACCTTTACCAACAGAGGGGAAATATGCTGCGACCAAATGGGAAGAGGCTTCATTCCTGCCCTCCACCCCATTTAATGACCACAATGTATGTCAGACCACTTCATTGTCAACAGATTATTTTGCCAAAATACACCACCTAAAATAGAAATATTGGGCTGTTGGAAAAGTTGTGACACATTTTATGTAGAAAATAGATGAAGGAAAGTCTGCTAGATCCAAAAGAAGAGAGAGACTGAAACACACAAATTGTTGGGGATCTCAGTATTCCATTATCTCCTTTAGACAAGTCATCTAGACAGAAAATAAGCCAAGAGATAGCGGGTCTAAATTTTTCTATGTAAAAATGCGTCATGACTTTTCGGACAATTGAATAACAGATTACTAGAAAAGTTTTCAAAAGATGTACTTGCTGCTGGAGAAGTCATCTCTTATTTGGTGCTTATCTTATCTCTACAACACATTAAAGATTATTAAACCATTAAAAGACCCAACATCTGTGACTCTTCATACACCAGAAAATGTATCAAGTACCTCATTTGTCACCCATTATATGAATAGGCCCGTGGTTTTTGTATTTACACATGCCTCTGTAGACTCTTATGCAATTGTTTTCTAAAAACATCTTCTTGTGGGGGGGGTTGGTACAGCAGGTGGCGTGGTGGTTAAAGTTCTGGATTCCCACATGGCCAACCACGTTTCAAGTCCCGGACCCAGTGACTTGAAAATCACTCCACACATATGTGTGTGCCTACCCAAAAATCCTGAGAGGAAAAGGGATTGCAGTGTGGTCATCCTGGGGAGTGATTTCTCACTTTTCCTCTCTCTGTCTCTCTCTCTCTGTTCCCCTCTGGTGCCCTATGGCAAAAATTTAAAAAATAAAAGTACAAAACCACTTGGGAAGCATAAAATATTAGCTAGTAAATATCTGTTTTGATTTAGATTAAACATGCTGACAACTGTCTAATGATTCCTTTTTCCTGCCTATTGACTATGTCAGAGTGTGCATCAGTGAGTTAAAAACTCAAATATGTGTACTGCTATTTTACATTTTAAGGCTGACTGCCTTTAAAAGCCAGATTCAAGAGAACTATCTTAGCCAGAGGATTTTAGCTAAAACCATCTATAAATGCATGCCTGTTTAGAAGCTAAATTAACAAAACTCTCTCCATCAGTTTCTCAAGTTTTTTCTTGCATGTCCATGGTAGCTAGAAAAATCACTAGTAGAACACTCAAGGTCTTTGATAAAAATTTAGAAGTAAAACTCACATGTACTTATTCTTCTATATAGTGTCTCTTCTTGCAGTCAAAACAGAGCCCTTGAACAGCAGTGAAACCACAACCACGACTGGAGATGGAGCGCTTGACACTTTTACTGGGTCAGGTAAAGCCTTTAGCTCGCGTGCCATTATGTACACATTAGGGTGCATACTTGTCATCCTCCTTGTGAATAAGCAGCGTAAACATCAAAACTGTCAGAACTTTGATCTCTAAAAAGTTAGCAATAAGTCTGCTTTTATTGAGAACTAATCATCATCACACTATATACTTTGAGAAATTAATTTGGGATCATTTTGCTGGATTTTTAGTTGACATTAAAATGGTCCCATGACTTTGTTGTTGGAGATAAACAGAGCTGGCTTCCTTCATAATTATTTCACACAGTATTTAATTAATTTAATAATTAGATCGGAGTAGCTGACTTTGTTCATTCAACTTGCCCATTTCAATGACATAAAAATTCCCTGCAGTCTAACATTTTAGATGTAAAACTATCCATTCAATTCCTCCTAAATAACCTTGTTTCCTTTCTGGGTTTAAAAAGCTCCTCCTGTGTAAGCAGCTGAGTGACAAGTATTAAAGGTTAATGGGCTGCAGGAGAGCACATGCTGGTTGCATTAGAACCCAGTCTCTGAGAGCACTGGTAGGCATCAAAGAGAACAATAGCGGGCCTTTAAACATCAGTCCCTTTAAAATATGAAATATCTGATAACTCCCAGCTGGGCACAAAGGGAATGAATTAAGTTGACTTAAAGATTTTTTTTTTCAACTAAAATATTTTGTTTGGCTTATTATCTGGCGAAAGGATTTTTTAAACCTTTTCTTAACCAGAGGAGGAATGTGTGTATCAAAGGATGGGCATTAAACCTGGAAAAGTATTTTTGGTGATTAAATATTGGTTCTGTTACTCTGTTGCAACCTATTTCCCATTTATTCATGAACCATGCACAGGGATGTTCTGGAGGTCCATGTTTTATGTAAAAAGAGTTGAGGTGTGCCTTTGAGCTTAGTATCTCTGTAGCATATACTTGAACTTTATAGATGCAAATAATCCAGTTTTACAGTGATTAGAAGCACATGTCATGTATTCACATAAATATTAGTATTCCAAACAGAAATAAATAAAATATGCACAGAGACCCATCTGTCTAATCCACGCCCTTTAGTCACCTGCCTCCCCAGAGATAAATAGGTACCAACTTACTCTAACATTTTGTACTGTTAGCTTACCATGACTCTTAACTTTCTGCAAAGAAAATGCATATGACCAAAGTTTTAAGGAAAGGAATGGAATTATTAACTAATTGTTGATATATTTCAATAGTATACTACAAGCTAATTAAATACTGAATGACAGACCAGAAGTTGGTGTAGTGCCTAAGTCACTAGACTCCTACCTACATAGCTGACCACAGTTGGCCCCCAGGACTCAGTGGCTTGAAAATAATGCCAAGTGCATGTGTGTGCAAACCCAAAATCCTCAGAGGAGAATGGAGCAGAAGGGATTGCTGTGTGGCCACCCACCCCTGGGGGGTGAGTTCTCAACTTCCCCTTGTATGTTTCTCTCTGTCTCTCTCTGGCAAGCACATATGCCCTACAGCAAAAACCTAAAAAAAGAAAACCTGAATGACAAAACTATAGAATGGTAGTTCCAGAAAATATTTCAGAGCTCTCTGATACAATTTATAGACAAGAATACTAAGGTTCCCAGAGAAGATGAAGGTGGTTAAGGCCACACAGTCAAGACCTCACAGCTGGTTGGTGGTATAATCAATCTGGAACAGAGTCCCTGGGTCCTTTCTATGAAACCTCACCAAAAAAATACAAAGATGGAAAAAGACAGATGTGCATGATCATCCTGTCTGAAATTTACTCTTATTATCTTTGCAGGTATTTTCTCAGTTTTCTTTTAAAATCTGTTTAGAGGTGTACAAGCCAATGAAGTAGCCATTAGTCATGTGTGGCAATTTAAATTTAAATTAATTAAAATTTGGTAAAATTAAACATTTTATTTCTAGTCACATTAGACACATTTCAGTGTCTAATAACTGACCATGGTTAGTGGCTGCCGCAGTAGACAACTCACACATGCACACTTGCAAAACCACGTGAAGTTCTATTTGACAGCAAGCTCTAGGGCCAGGATACACAGTAAAGGCACCATTAAACTTTCCTTACTGTGGGGGAACTGTCCTTCACATTGTAAGATGTTCAGCAGCATTCCTACATCTGCTTCTAAATGCCATAGCATCCCCCAGTTGTGACAACGAAAAATTTTCCCATTTTATTTATTTATATTTTATTTATTCATGTTTTAATTGCTGGAGATCTCACATCAGAGTCTGAGAGGGAGAACGTACCCCCAGTGAAGGGCGGTTACACTACAGTCCCTTCTCCTTCATTTCCTCGTCCTGCTGGGATTCTGAACATGCACAGGGGCCTACTTGATGTGTTTTTCAGGCCGTCATGTTTGGCAGGTGGGATCTGGTTCCTTTAACCACTAGGCTACACGTCAGGCCACAGACATTTTAAATGTTTCTTGCCAATCAAAATTGCCCACTTCCACTTCCCAACCCATTGAGGGTCACTGATCCAAGGTGTCCTAAGAGTAAAATCTTGAAATTGCTTGATGCCATTCTCTGAGAAACTAATAATATGGATAAAATGTTTGCTTTAATTAAGTTTCAGGACATCTTGAAGACAAGCAATTTTGTTTTTGTATGCACAATTAATGGAATATAATAAGTTTGGTGGTTTGGGTAATGGCTGTGATTAATTAAATAACAGTGGGGAATAAAACAAAGGTCTTCCATATTTGTACATGGTATTCTAGAACTCTTTCTGGAGATTAGGCTTTCCTTTGTAGTAGTCTAAAAATGAGTAGTCTTTAAATTTGATCGGCATAATCACAACACACTTTAATCCAATTTTGTTGCTTTTAGGTACCTATAAACTTAGTAGTTAGAAAAAAATACTAATTTTAGTAAAGAAATATAAACTCTCAAATTTTTATTCCTTATGTTCAAATCACAGTTTTCAGAGTCAAAGATTTTGTATTCTATTTAGAAAACATACATATAGACATAACATTTTGAAGGTTAATTGAGCCTGTATACTGTTGTCAGTACTTCATTCCTTAGAGAAGAAAAGCATCCTAAAGCATTCAGAATTGTGTTCATGTGGATGTCTTTTTTTCTGAAATGTGTAATTTTGCTTTTTGCCTTATTTAAGAAAATCTTCTATAGTGAATGTTTCTTTTCATCATTTGATGTCTCTTTGAAAAAGACTTCTCTTTTAAAACCTTGAGATTAACTGATTAGTAAAACCCACATCTTGAGTATACCAAAGTGAAGTTCCATTTTAAAAAAAGACAAAACAGGGCCAGCAGATAGTATGGTGGTTAAGGCATGGGATTCCACATGGCCAACTCCATGAATCAAGTCCCAGACATGGCAGCTTGAAAACACATGTGGTACATGCACATATATGTCTAAAATCCCTAGAGGAAAATGGATCAGAAGGGATCATAGTGTGGGTCAAGTTCCCCCTCTCTCTGTCTTCTCTACCAAGCACATGAACCCTATTGCAAAAATCTAAAAAAAAAAAAAAATGAACCAAACAAAAAAAAGACAAAATAGCCTGAAATTAAACCTCATTTAACTATATTTCTACTAAATAGACCATTCACTACTATGAATTAATAAATTGGACTGAATCTCCTATGGAATAGCATTCTTGTTATATAATGGACATTCAGTGCTCATAATGGAGAACTGTCTTTTCTCATTAAGTTGACTTGAAAATTTTAAACATTATGTTTTTAAGAAAAAAATTTAAAAAATTAATGACCATTGATCAATTTATTTTAACTCTATATCACAAATTCACTTCAATTTTGGATGCTGGAAATTTTAGAACATATCACCTCTAGTCATCATCATAATTTTCAAAACTGATTCATAATATTCTTGAAAATATACTTACTGCACTATTGCTATGAAAGTTAAAATATGCTTTCCATACTCTGAGTTTACAGGCAAAATAGCATTTTAAACACATTAAATTCTGCATGTTTATGAAGCAGTAGATCACAAGGCTACTTAATAGCATTTGGATATAGAAATATATCATGTTTCATAAAATAGTTAGCAACCTAAACCTATTTGTCACTTTTACAATTCTAAAAGTATAGCTCTAGAATTATTATGAACAACTTAGAAAGGGCATAGTACTTTGAAGTATAACTATGATTGATTAGACTAAACTAATTCCAGCACTGCATTGTGTACTACTTTAATCTTTTTGAAAAGTGAATGAACAGCAGATGGCCTAATAAAGACACTCTGTGTGCTTGCTCAGTATGGATTGGCTCTGAAGGCATTGGTTCAACACTTTGGAGTTATATATTTGCAATGTATCTGTCTTAGTCAAGGTAGATGGTTAAAGGAAAGAGAAACTTCTAAACTTTTGGATATATTCCAGTTTGGGGCTGAATGTTTGGCTGAAATGTTAATAGGACCGACTTTTACTTTTAAATTCCAGTTCTTCTCAAGAAAATGTTATCTCTGATAGTTCAAAATACATTCATTAAATATACTTGCTACTGCATTTTGTAATTATGTTTTTTTAAATGTATGACATTATTACTCTTGCTTTCTATGAGTATTTCAGTTATTTCTAGAATCTTTTGGATTCTACATTTTTAACTACTCATTCAATGGTATAAGGAAATAGAAAAACAATACTGTTTTACAATTGGACAATAAAAGTTGGAACATAAAATTTTTCTTAATTTTTATTGTATTTCAATGAGAATAAATATGAAGGAAAAATAACATAAGAGGAATCTTCCAAAAGTTCATGGAAATGTGTATTATAACAAAAACTATGCATGGATTTAAAAAATTTCTCCACCCAACTAAACTCATATTCTAATTCCATTCTTTTAGGAATGTTTAAAGTCCCCTTGTTTGCCATCATATTGGAATTTGAAATATAAAGTCTGAAAATTTAAAAAATGTACATTATGACCCCATCATCAAAGATATTTAAGGCCATCTTCTTGGTGCAGTGATAATGCACTGCTTAAGGGAAATTGGTTTGAACATGGCAACTATGGTTTGAGACCCTGGCTCAGTCAGTCTGAAACACACAGGCATGACCAGACTCTGTACAGGGTACTTCTCTCTTCCTCGCTCGCTCTCATTCACATGTACACATGCACATACTCTATCATGAATAAGGAAAAAATTATCTAAAAAAGTAATTTATTCGTAACGTATTAATTCATAACAGAATAATACTGGTTTGTGAAAATGGAAACATAAAATGATTTGTGAGGAGTGTGCATTTCATGTTCTTAGAACAAAACTCAACACAGTTTATTTAAGAGAAAGTTTTTAGATATGTTTCTTTTAAAAAAATGAATTTTGAAAATGAATGCATTTTTAGAAAAGTATTTAATATGATAATTTCCTCATATTGTTATGTACATTCAAGTGAAATAAATTCATGAAGCAACTTTTTTTGTACTGCTTTCTGTGTGTATGTGTGTGTGTCTTACAGTAATAACAAGTAGTGGCTACAGTCCCAGATCAGCGCATCAGTATTCCCCACAACTCTACCCTTCCAAGTAAGTGGTCAGTAGATTCTTAAAGAATTGTTAGAACAGTGTCTGGAATTATCATTATCAAATCTGCATTCACCCAATATAACAACTTAAAGTTGGCAAACATTTTTGCCAATATATAAATGTATTATAGATAGCGGGATAGACAGATACTCGAATAAGTTGGACATGCAGATAATTATCTGCGCAGATTAGAAATAGAAACATCCATTTATATCTGGATAATTCCCCTTATTCTTGATATTTACATACCTTGAGAAAAGCCAGAATATACTTTATTTTTAATGAAAAAATTTTAAATTCTGGCTAGTTTAAAGAAAATCTAAAGAGATTACATTTTATTTAAGCATCAATACTTCACAATTTCATCATTGAAATATTTTTATTGGATTTCAAGTTTTAAGAAACATGTTTTGGGAGAATATACCTTCTTGATTTTGTATCTAATGTGGTCATCCGATTGAATTCAGTGGTAAATATTTCAGATTTAACTATATCAAATACCTATATCTGTTTGTTTGGAATCAATAGCTATGTCAAGATTTTGATACGCCTTTATATACACTTTGCTATTTTCTGTAGCATCTGAAGTGTCTGCCCTTAGTATAGTCTGGGGATTGGCTGTCCTTTGGGAAACATTATGTAAACTGTGGCATGATGGAGGGATGGTATTTCAATTCTCTTCAGGAGACTTCCTTTATTTATTTATTTAGGTTTTTGATTTTTTTGAATAAGATTCTTATTAGAGCTTTAAATATACTTTTGTACTCATAAAATATTAGGTCACTCTGGTGAGTGCAAGTATGTTCAGGAGCACATTAACTGGTTTGTGCTCCATTTTTCTCACTTATTAATTGGAGTGCTCTTTCTGATTGATGTAAACAAGAATCAGACTTAGAAAGGGGTGTGGACGTTTGAGGTGTAGACTCTAGGAGTTTAAATGATTTGTTCAAGGTCACTAGACTAGTTTATAGCAGAGCCTGGACTCTTACCATTCAGACTCTGGTTTTTTTTCTGATATTGCTAAAATTATATTGAGGATAAAGAGGAGGATTAGTTCCTGGATATTATAGGATTTCACTGAATCTAAGCTGTCTGAATGAATGTGCAGTCTTTGTTGCCACAGTAATGCTATTTTTCTGATATTTAGGCCCTATCCACACATTCTTTCTACACCAGCAGCTCAAACAATGTCTGCTTATGCAGGCCAGACTCAGTATTCGGGGATGCAGCAGCCAGCCGTCTACACAGCCTACTCGCAGACAGGACAGCCCTACAGCCTGCCCACTTACGGTATTTCACATCTTCTATCTTCTCCATTAGGTATGAGCAGGTAATCCTGCTGACTAGTAGTTTCATATTGAAATGTAAGTTGTAACTCAGAATGCAGATCATCTTCTTAACTAAATGGTTTGCCGATACGTTTTCTAAACAGATTTGGGTGTGATGTTACCAGCCATCAAGACGGAGAGCGGGCTTTCCCAAACTCAGTCCCCATTACAGAGTGGCTGCCTCAGCTACAGCCCAGGATTTTCTACCCCGCAGCCAGGCCAGACACCTTATTCTTACCAGATGCCAGGTAAGGAGCCACACACGAAACACACTATGTGAGAAGTAATTCTTCAAATAATACTTCTTGACTTCCGTATAGGAACACCCACCCTGAAGACAGTATTAAACTTTGCGACTGCTCACACAGTTTCTTAAGAAAAGCCAGATGACTAGGCAGAAACATGATGAAAATAGTTGAATGTACATCAAGAAACATGACCCATACCAAATTTAAATACTTAGGTTTAAGCTGTGTAACAAGGGCAGGAAAGCAGGTCCAAGCAAAGCAGCCTCCCAGCCAGCCAGCAGGTCAGTCACACGTTTAGTGTCTACTTAAGCAGTTTCAAAGATTCATAGCACAGACCAGTATTTTCTTTTCTGTATTCCTTAAGTACACAGTGCTGTTTTGGTTACATTTAAAGGGGAATTCACTCTTTTCTACGTTCCACTTAGCACTGAGTGATTGAGGAGTTTTTGTTCATTCTTAAAATACTTCCTTCCTCTTGGTATATATTTCTTAATAAAACTATTTATACAATGTGTTTTCCCTGAAATAAAAATCCTCCATATATGATCCTTATTTAATTTTTCTTATTTTTGGCTTCTATTAAAAGTTATGGGACCAGCCTCATACTCTATTGCTTAGGGGTGCCAGATCCCATATAGCCAACTGTGGTTCAAATCTCAGTGTTGGCTGCTTGAAAAACATGCTGGGTGTGTGTGCATGCCCCCAGATTTGACAGGTTGAAGAAATAAAGGAGAAGGGATTGCAGTGTGAGCACACCCCACTGGGGAATACTTTCTTCTATTCTCTGTCCCTCTGTGTCTCTCTGGCAAGCACGCACCCCCACCCTACAATGAAAAAAAAAAGTATAATAAAAAATAAATTATGTTTAGTTTTTCTGTAATAGTTGAAGAATTTTAGTGATGTAGTAAAAACAAACAAAAAAACTAGTGCCTATTTGTCATAATGTACCAGCCTATTTTGGTACAAATATTTTTTTGAAATTCAAGTATTTACTCCCATAATATACACTTTCTATGGATATTTAGAAGACTTCTTTTAGCTACCTGGATATTTGTGGCTGGAGGGGCCGGACTCTTTTCCACCTGGAATGTAGGTAGATGCATATTTGCATACGTATTGTAGCCTCATGAACCACATAGCTTCAGTTAGCAGTGTGACAGAGAGCAGAAAGATATTATCTTTTATTTCCCAAATACATTCACATTAGATACTCTAGGTTGGGTCAATTTGCATTGATTATGTAGTACTGTTGATTACCAGTCAAAATACATTAATAAACCAAACAACTAGCTGCCTCTGTAATCTCATTTTACTTCTGATAAAAACATTCCATAAAGACATACTTTTTTAAAAAAAAAATTATAGTGGATATTTCAATTGTTTTTATCCTTATTTTAAAAAGTAAGTAAATACATTTAAGACTTCTTAGTAAAATTTTAGAAGGCATGCATACCTTAGATTATTGCAGTATTAACTGCTAAGCCTTGAGTCTGAACCCTAGTTCACAATTCCTTTTGGTCTAAAAAAAAGCATGAATGAAGGAAAAGATGGGGAGCTGCAGGCGTCAGTTTCAGCTGCCCTCTGTGTTTATTTCCCGTGCTAATAATACCATTCAGTTGATATGATCATTTGAAAATTTTAGTAAGTTTTTGGAAGGAGTATCAGTCTGTGTCAGATTTTGTGCGTTGTGTACTCATGTACCTCTAGTCACCATTCCTTGGGTGTTCACCTCAGTCCTTGTGAAGACTGCTCCCCTGTGGTCCTGGTTACCCCAGCAGATTCCGTGGGAGAGCCTTTACCAGCTGTTCCAGAAGAGCTAGAACTGCACATATTTTCTTTCTAAATCTTTCAACTTCCAGTTCTACTGCCTTTGTAACAAAATGCAAAATATGTTTCTCTCACTGAATTTTGCAAAGTGAAATATATTTATCATTGTACAGAGAATCCCTTTTTAAAATGTGATCTGTTCTTTACCTCTAGGTTCTAGTTTTGCACCATCGTCTACCATTTATGCAAATAATTCAGTTTCCAATTCCACAAATTTCAGTGGCTCACAGCAGGTATAGTAGCTCTTTGTATTTATGCTTTTGAAATCTGTTGCAGATCTTTGAAGACTACTTTCAAATTGTCGTATTAGTGTATTCCTACAAAATAAGGGTTTTATTTTATTATTTATAATTAAGATACCATTTCAAGATAGTAGACTGTCCTGAATTCTTCAGACATGTGTTATTCTGGATATTTTAAGTTTCTCGATTGATAAAAGTTTTTCCTTTAAAAATGTAAAGTGTTACTGTTTTATATATTTGGCCTGGCATTGTAAAATATGTTGTATACTATTCTGTTATCTTATACAATATTAAAAATAGACTTTTTGATGTAAAGTTTATCATCATGGATATTAATTAATATATTGAACTATAATCAATCATAGGATCATGCTGTAGGCAATGTCATCATTGAAAAGTACTAGTTGTTACTGAACAGAATCCCTCTAGACCTACTGTTGACTTTTTAAATTATTTAATGATGGCCTTTAATAAGTGTTTGATTTCTAATTTCCTGACAACTGTATTTTTTTTACTTTTGTCACTGTACCTGCCTCAAGTAGTCCTTAGTATTCTTCCTAATTATATTTCCTTAATATTTTTTGTAAGTTTGAAAATCTATCTTGTTAGAATTCTGTGTGGAACCAAAGCGAATGTTCCCAAATGCGTAAATTGGCTCAGAGCTAGATAATTTTAAGATACGTGTTTGCTTCCAAATTTTGTGTTTTTAATTCCTGATTATCAACATATTCTGAGTAGTTGAGATTGAAGGGTAGTTGACATTGGGCAGGCAGTGTACTATTTTATTCTAAGATAATTGTTGAAGTTTTATATATCCTTAAATGTAAGATACTGCACAAGTGTTTACTTTTGACTTACTGAAAGAATCCTACTAGTTGCTTTCTCTGAGTTTTAGTAATATAACAGAATGCAAAAAAGGAAATTTTAATTATTAAAATAGTATCGAGTGGGATCAGCAGATGGAATAATGGTTATGTTGCTGGACCCCCACATAGTCGGCCACAGTTCAAGTTTCAGACCCAGCAGCCTAAGACTCACACCAGAAGCACTGTGTGCATGCTCAAAATTCCAAGAGGAGAATGGAGGAGAAAGGATTGTGGTGTGGTCATTTCCCCACGGGGTGATTTCTCACTTTCTGTCTGACTATTTCTCTGATGAGTGCACATGCGCTGTAACAGAAAAAAATTATAATAAAGAGAAAATAGTATAGAGTAATGATACTTTGCTATGATTAAACTATGTAAGTTTGCATTAGTTATAAACAATGATTTCTTAAAACTCTAAACGTCAGTACTCACGTGCATGGTTTATTAAAAATCTGAGAATTACTGGGACCAGCAGTTGGCATAATGGCTACATCGCTGGACTCCCACGTAGTCAACCGTGGTTCAAGTCCTGGACCTGGTGGCTTAAACTCACTCCAGGTGCATGTGTGTGCGTGCCCAAGCTCCTGAGAGGAGAATGGAGGAGAAGGGATTGTGACGTGGCCATCCCCCCTGGGAGTGTGTGTGTGTGACTTCTCGCTTTCTGTCTCTCTGTCTCTCTGGCAAGCACACACGCCCTATAGCAAAAACCTCTCAAAAAAAAAAAAACTGTGAATTACTGATACCTTAATTTTATTAATTTATTGATACAATAGACTTTGAGTACTTAGCTATACATTAGATTTTGACAAGGCATTAAAGATTCAAAAATAATAAGTCCTTGTCTCCATTTTCTGAAAAGACACAATCTTCCTGAAGAAACAGACATGGAAATAACTTAGATAGAAATTGGGATATAGTGGACATAATAATAGAAACATAGCCCAGACAGAGTAGTAGTGTAAAAGACAGATTACTTCCACTCTACTTCAAAGAATTCAAAACAAAAAAGATTAATACATGAGAAGAAAATGTATTGATGAAGATAAGTTTTTATCGTAAAACAAATTCACTGCTATCTGAAGATTTAAATACAGTGGATCCAGTATAAAATGTGATCTCTATTTTTGACTGTGGTCTGGATACCAGTTTAGCAAATTCTTGCTGAGTGCCTATTAAATATTAGGAAGTGGTCTGTTTACTGATGGATGTGGAGGTGGTGCCAGGTGAATCTGACCTGATTCCCACATCATGGAACTTATACCATACTGAGAGAGACAGACAGTAAGCCAGTGAACATACAGATAAATGTATAATTGGAAAGTATGAAGGCAAAAACCAGAGTCCTATTTTTTTTTTTAAAGAGAGACTTTTGCTATAGGCATGTACACTCACTGGAGAGACAGAGAGCAAGAAATCACCTTCAGGCAATGGCCATGCCACACAGTTCCTTCTCCTACAGTCCCTTCTCGGGATTTTGGGCATGGACACACAGGCACCCAGTGTGAGTTTCAAGCTGCTGGTTCTGGGACTTGAACTGTGGTCAATTACATGGGAGTCTAGTGATGTAGCCATTCTGCCATTGCGTATCCAAGACTAGAGTCCTATTAAAATATTAATAGACATCAACTTTTTAACAAGAGAGGATGTATTGAAGACTGTTCTGTGAAAACCATATTTAGGTCAAGATGTCTTTAGAGTTAGGTGAAGAATCAAAGCAAGGATGTTTCAGGAAAAGAGAGCAACCCCAGGGGGGTGAAAGGTTTACTATGACATTGAACTTAAAGGAGGCTGGAGTTATGTATAAAGGGAAAGTGGGGAAATAAACATGAACAGAGAGAGGCAGGGCACTGTGCTTCACAGTAAGGGATGGGGGTTCTCCTCCCAGCCCAGTGGGAAACTGTAAAAGAATTTTGAGCAGGAGGATAACATCGTATAATTCATGCTTTGAAAATACCACTCTGGCTTCAGAAACTTGGCACCAAGCCAAATATGGAAATGAGATAAATTAGAAAGCGTACTTTGGCTACAACAGGAAGTTAAGGTAGTTGGAGAAGGGTGACAGTGGAAATGAAGTGGGAACTTTCGAGAGGTTTGAGAAGAAAAAAGACATTATATTCACTAGAAGCTAGTGGTCTGGACCATACAATATGGCTTTATCTTCCTCTGAGGACATCAGCTAGCTAATGGAGAGCTTCAATGCACAGGTGCCAGACGTAGGCTCTCCAGGTTTCCTGCTCCAGCTTTGAAACTTACAAGCGCATGACTTGCAGATCACTTCACCACTCTGTGCCTTAGGCCCTTTCTCTGTAAAATGTAGATAATAATATCACACAGATGATTGTAAGGATTAAATGGATGAAACTATTTAAGCCCTCAGAACAGTCTCCACCCAAAATAAGCACTGTGAAAATGTTTGCTGTCACCATTTCACTCTGAGAAAGATGTTTTGCTCACAACTTTGTTCAAATATTAATAAGAATTTTTTCCCCATCTCACAGTTGAGATTGGGAACATGATATCCTTAAATTAGCAGAATAATAGAATCTAAATTTTCTGTCACATGACAGTCTTTTCTGATAAGACATGTATTTGCTTATACGGGAAGTCTCCTTTTTTGGAAACCACATCAGATATGGAAATATGGATCTTTGTTCCCTTCAGAACATGTTACATCAGGGGATCTTAATCCTGACCAAAGATGTATCATCACTGATAACGTTTTGGGGTAAAACCTGCTTAGGTACATTAAACACTGATTATCACTGTAAATCTTTGCTTTTCATCTTAATATGTTATAAAGATTTTTAAGGGCCAATCCTATCATTTTAAAGTTCTTAAAATTTTTTCATTAAAAACAAAGGGTTGAGGGAACCAGCAGTTAGCATAGTGGCATTGTTGCTGGACTCCCACATAGTCGACCACGGTTCGCCTCCCGGACCCGGTGGCTTAAAACTCACGCCGGGCACGTGTGCATGTGTGCCCAAGATCCCGAGAGGAGAATGGAGGAGAAGATATTGCGGCGTGGCCATCCCCCCTGGGGGGTGATTTCTCACTTTCTGTCTCTCTGTCTGTCTCTGTCTGTCTGGCGAGCGCACGTGCCCTATAGCGAAAATCTCTCCAAAAAAAAAAAAAAAACGAAGGGACGAAGGGTTCCTCTAGTGATTTCATTTTTTATTTGTAACAAAGAAGGGAAATTATTGGATTGTCAGAAAAGTCATGATGCACTTTTGCATACAAAAAATATATCATGACTTTTCTCACAACCTGATAAATAGTGGAAAACCTCACTAAAAACTTAAGAAAAAAAATAATTATTTTATTTTGATTTGACCAGAGAGGGACAGAGAGAGAAAGAGAGAGGGAAAGTGAGAAAGAAGCTGCCAGGTTCAGGACTCAAACATGGTCAGCCATGTGGGAATCCATCGCCCTTAACCACCATGCCACCTGCTGGCCCCCCTTACTAAAAACTTTTAAGTGAAAGCCTCAAGTGGCATATAGCTTGTGAGGGGCCAGGTAAGAAAAAAATGTTTCATTTTTCTTCTTTTCCTTCCTTTTTCTTCCTACCAAAATAATAAAATGACCAAGAAAGGGAATAAAACAAAAATCCCAAAATATGGAGTGAGTTTTCATGGAAGAGGAGCAGCTACAACTCCTCCTTGCTGGGGCTGTTGGGAGATGGATAAGCACTGATTTTGTGAATATTACCTGGTTCCACTTTCTCTCCTCTTCAAGTACATAAGTTCTAAGGACTTAACTCTTGAGGATAAGCAATAATGGGGTTGGGCAAAGTGAAGTTATGCAACCTTTAGTCGCATTAAAATTTGGGTGCTGGAACTAGTTTGCAGAATCGGTAAGGTTGTTTGTTACTACCTGTGTGTAAAAGATGCCTATGAAATAGTCTTTGGTCCTTAAGATCACCTCATCATGAACTCAGAAACAGAGCTTAATATTAACTTTTCAGTTGCCATAGGGAATGATTTTCTTTGGAGCATACTAGACGATAGTTTCCCTTTCAAACACACGCATTTCAATTATTGTTTCAGGATTATCCATCCTACACAGCCTTTGGCCAAAACCAGTATGCACAGTATTACTCAGCATCAACATATGGAGCGTATATGACATCCAACAACACAGCTGACGGCACGTCATCATCAACCTCTACCTATCAGCTGCAGGAGTCACTTCCAGGATTGACTAGCCAACCAGGTACAGATCTTCACCCAGGTGACATACATCATATATTTTACAGTATCTAATAATATGGAAAAGATGAATATTTCAAAACATGGCTGATAGCTTATAGATAATTGTTCTGATATTGAATCTACATTAGCCTCATTATGTAAAAATGAGATTCGTCTGGCATTTCAGAAAGTCCTTTTAGATATAGGACAGATAGAAGACTTTGATTTCCGAATGACAGTGTATTTATGAATATAAATATAAAAAGGTAATGGATCTTTTGCCATTCTCATTCTTCTGTGAAACACATGACAACAAAATTGTATTGGGTTTTTGGAAAAGTCATGACACATTTTTGCACAGAAAAAAATATGTCATGACTTTCCTGACAACTTGGTAATATCATCTTGAGTATGACTGAAACTTCTTTTATACTGGAGAGTGTATACCCTCTGCACCTTTGACAGGCATCAGTGGTTCTAGCCAGTGGACATTCCCTGCATTGCTAGGATTTACAGGATCAGCAGTAGGAGGTTTGATGTCTTTCATCAGTGTGCATATTTAAAATAGATTCTGGTTTTTATTATCTAAGCTTTCTCTATTCTTATTAAGGTTGTATTTGCTACATAAATGATCCCATCTGAAGTAAAGTTAAAAGCACATTTAATGGAAATTCAGCATAATTTCAAAACAAAAATCCAGGACTCTTAGAGAAATTATGAAAATGATTTTAAAATTATGAATAAAGGCAAAGAAATTACAAGAGCCAAAATAATTTAGAAAATAAGAACAAAATTAGAAGATTCATATTGCCTGATTTCTAAAATTATGTACAGTAATCAAGAAAGCATGAAATGATATACAGTGATTGAATGTACAAAGAAAGAAAGAACAGTACTAGCAAAGGAATAGGTAAGTACAGCCATAAAAAAGAATGGAGAATTCAGAAATACACTCATACACAGTACCAGAAAACCAATTTATGACAAAGGGTGCAAAGGCAATTGAATAGAAAATGAATATATTCTTAGCAAATGATGCATTCTTAGCAAATGATGCCAGAATAATTGGACATCTATTTGCAAAGGAAAAATAGCTCAGATACAAAAATTAACTCAAAGGGGATCATGTTAATCTATAAGTAAAAACTAAAAGTATAAAAACTTTCAGAAGAAAACATGGAGAAAATCTTTTTGACCTTAGGCTACATAAAGATTTTATAGATATGGTACTAAGAACACAATCCGTGAAAGAAAAGATAAAGTAGATCTTATAAAATTAAGAATGTCTGCGCTTTGAAAGACATTGTTAGAAGAATTTTTAAAAGTCAAACCACAGATTGAGAGAAAATATTTGCAAAACACATCTCCAATAACAGACTTGCATCCAAAACATATAAAGAATGCTCAAAATGAGGTTAAGAATTTTCAGAAACATCATTTGAGTATATTAGTGTATTTGCCTTCAAATATTTAAAAAAAATTCAGATTTATCTCTGCTTATTTTTCTTATTCATCTTGGAAGGAATGAAAATCGGGATACATGGCCACAGTACTGTAAATGCTTTCTAACTGGCCTGGTGGGACCAGGATAATCCAATATCATTAAATAATTATTATTGTGTATCTATTTGATATCAGCACTGTGCCAGAAATGGATATTTCAGCAGTGAGTGTGCTCTCTACATAGCTTTAGGTTCTATTTAACAATCAAGACAAAGATCCAGAAAAATAATTACAACAGTGATGAGTACAGAGAAAGTAAAATGGTAGAAAATGTGGAGAATATTATCTAGTAAACTCACTCAGACCTAAAGAAGTAACAATGAAACTGATCTTTTAAGCTAAGCCAAGGTATGTGTAATCATAAATCGATAAAATGGTAACATCCATTATTTTTAGATCCTTCTTCAGAATATCATTTTTGTGTCGCATGGAAAAAGAGTAAATATTGTTTGCCTTTGGTGCTCCAACTTTCAGTTTCTTTCCTCTTCTTCCTTTCATTTAGATCATCCCTAGGAGCTTATAGCCCCTTTGAATTCCAGGTCCTTATCTCTTTAAGTCTTCTTGTTTAGTCTTTCCATGAGCCTCAGCCTCCTGAGCATCTGTACACATGCAAGGCCATGACTGGAGGGTGGCCAGTGAAATTGCAAAGGCACAATATGTTAAGGGGCACTCGTTCTCAGGTGCCCTAGGAGCCTCACTTGTTTACTTGTTATTCGTAGCTTGTACCTCATGTTCCAAATCTGTCCTAATTGTTTTTGAGGCAATACTTGCATTTCATCAAGGATCATACCTTAATTTAGACAATGAATGATTTCAAAATTTTTGCTTAACAGGTTGTGGAGATGTTTTAGATAAGGAGCTATTTGATATGCTGTTATCACACTGAAAGTTTTTGTTTTTTTGTTTTTGTTTTCCAATAGGGAAAACAAGGTAAGGTAACTAAAAGCACAGAAGTATTTGATCCAGGTGTCAGAGACTGAAAGACAGGCAGGATCAGCAGGCTGTCTTATAATTTACTAAACTACAGCTACCTTGAATGAAAACTATGTGTATACTCAACTGTGGTATATGCTGGGTAGAGTTTTGAGTAAAAAAGGTTGATTTGGCTCTGATTTCCATGTGAACACAATAGTTTCCCTGCAAAAAAAAAAAAAAAGCACAGATGGTTGCATTCCACTAGCTGAAGAATAATCAGCATTCAAAATAACTTTTATTCATATTAAAAATAATGAATATTTGCAGGTAGATATTCTGTGTACATGCCATTGAATGTGACACATTCATCTGTAGTATTCTTATATTCACTGTGAGAATGCTGCAGTTTCTTCAGGCTTCCATTGGTTGCTAATGCCAGCAAATATGATTCAGCATAATTTTTAAATTTTATCAGACTTCCTATTGAATTTTTATTTCCACTTGTAGTTGTACTATCCTCCCAACCAAAATCATAATAGCAGACATGTCTGGAGCTTTAAAGGAATTTTGTGACCTCAGACCTTTGGGAGAGGTAGTTTTAAGTTTAATTTTGCCTTTTCCGATCTGGCATCTGTCCAAAGAGCAAATATGTTTATAACTACAAGATTTTTCTGATGAAATCTGATGGATTATGTTCAAGGACAGGAAAAGTATTTCTCTTTTACTGGTTCTCTATTTTGGACTTAAAACAGAGACTTAACAATTAAATCCACAATTTTTCATAAAATATTCACTGTTGACTTCCATTTTAAAAATAGAAACATGCCTTATGTTCAATAAGAAACAGCTGGGTTTTTTTTCTGATTTAAAGATATATCTAATGAAATAATGTCACATCTAAATATCTAAAATTTACAAGGTATAGTTTTTCATTACTGTACTGGTGAAAGAATAATTATTCAGTCAAGTATGGTGTTGGCTCAAGAAAAGCCTAGGGCAATTGGTAATAGCTCTGCTATTCAGAAATTATAAATAGCATTCAATTATTTGTTTTACCTTATTGACAGTGGATTTAAAGAAACGTTACTATGCTGATTAAGAACAGACATTTTACTTCATTACCTTCATGAAGATCATTCTTTGCCTTTAAGATAAAGTTTATCTTAGGTATATTGTCTTTTTTATTTGCATTCAGAAAGTTTGAGTATTGATTAACACATACAATGAGATGACTTTATAGCTTCTTTTCAAATATTTTAATCATCTTTAAATTGAAGTAAAGTTAGTAATTTGTAACTGTATTATGCTTCATGCTAAGACCTTGGAAAACATTACATTATCTAGTTGAACTTAACAAGTGCTTGATTAGCTATATTTATAAAAGGTAACAAATTTAGTAAGAATGCTTTCCTCTAAGAAAAGAAGCCAGTTTCTTAAGCAGAAAACAGCTGACCTCTTAAAATTTCATGATATTGAAGTTAGAAAGAGAAGCAAAGTACTCTCTACCTCATCTCACTGACACTAACAAGAGGATTTAGATGGGAAGGATGGACTACATTGAACTTTTCTGCCAATTTACATTTTCTCTCTGCAATACTATTGTGCCCTTCTGCAATTACCTGAATGAAATTTGGCAGAGGCACTGGAATTAATTCTCCTTTTAAAAAAAAGTGTCAACAAATGTTTAATGACCAGTTGAGGTCAAGTTACTAGTTTTATCCTTTATCAGAAGAAAGGATAGTAGCACCTTCAAATTGCATAGCGGTCAGTACAATTCCACCTGGGTTGCTGTAAGAACCCAGATACATCATGTGCCTCCCACAGAACATGCTCTTTTACTTCTTTGAAGTTCTCTTCATTAATTTCTTGACTCATCCTCTCACAAAAGTTGTATAAAGTCTCTATCACATTTTAAAAATGTATTTAAAATGACTAGAAAATTAAGTATATTTATCATGTACAATATGTTATTTTGAAAAATATATACATTATGAAAGGCTTAAACTCAGCTAGTTAACATATTTATTACATCACAATAATAATTATCATAGTTACAACATTTCAAGTCTGTTCTCTTAGCAGGTTGTAAGAATACAGTACATTGTTATAAAGTATGATCACCATATGGTACAATAAATCTCTTAAATTCATTCTTCTTATATTTAATACAGTTTTGTAACTTTTGGTTGTTATAAGGTGTGTGTGCTCTCCAGAGAGACAGAGAGTGAAAGAGGGAAATTGAGAAATCACCCCTCAGGAGTATGGCCACACTGCAATCCTTTCTCCAGTCTCCTCTTGAGATTTTGGGCATGCATACATGCCCAGCATGATTTTCAAGCTGCTGGGTCTGGGACATGAACCATGCAGTTGGCCATGAGGGATTCAGCACCTTAAGCTACACACCACCTGCTGGCCTATTTTGTATTTTTTAACCAAGGTCTTCCCAACCCCTCTTCCCACCACTATAGCCCCTGACAACCACTGTTCTATTCTTTAATTTCCACAAATACAACTTTTTTAAACTTTACATACACATAACTTAGAACATTTAGTATTTGAATCTCTGTATCTGACTTATTTTTCTTAGCATTATGTCCTCCGGGT